TTGTATATTCGTTTTTGTCATAACCCATACACATATATGTGTCATCATTCTTGAGCGTGTGGGTGTAGATGGGTGTGGATGTGTGTGGGTGTGGATGTGGATGTGAGTATGGATATACGTTAATAAAACCCACACCCACACCCTCTAATGTCTGATTGACATACTGTAGTTTATTGTGCACATGATATTCTATTTTATAAAGAGCATTCTATATAAGAACCATTGTGAAAAAAAAACAGTCACCTATAATGAAGCCACTGATGAATAATGGAAAATGTTAGGCAGAAAGAACAATACTATCAGTCATTCATCATAGCCTAACATTATGACATTAATAGTTATCGTTCATTGTTCTTACGTACGTCAATGAAGACATGAAGACACACATAAATTGAAACAAATAGACATTATGAGTTAGACATGGAAACTTCAAAGAACGACTTTATCAATATACTCGATTTACCCAATGAAATCTTACTGATCATTTTCAACAAATTGAATATGGTTGATGTTCTTTATTCACTTATGGATGTCAATGAACGATTGAATCGATTAGTACTTGATCCTCTTTATATTCGTAATCTTGATATGACAATGAAATCATTGTCTGATGATACTTCTTTCAATACCTGATCAAGTTCTTAATAGAATTTGTAAAAAAAAGTCTTACCTTGAATTCATCATCATGTAAATGAACTTATTGTTGAATCACATTCAATAGAACATTCTTAATGTCAATTTTTATCCTCAACTTTTCTCGCTGTCATTGGCTAATTTTCAAGAAATACTGTATCAATATTTAACAAGTATACTATTTAATTTTGTTCGTTTTAATCATTAAAATAATGAAATTGTTAGACATGAAATAATAATCGTCTTTATTTTAATTGAAGATAATTCAATTCTTCATCGTCTTCTCACTGAACAAATCACATATCTTAATATTAGTATTCAAAATAAGATAACACCAATATTTTTTGAAACTTTAGCAAATGTTTTCGTATTGATTTTATTTTTATGTAAACGATTAATCAATTTGGATTTTCGTCAATTGTTTCCTGATCAAATGTGGTCAATTAGTATTTTTGATCTACGATCAACAACTTGCATGTCTTTAACTTTAACTCAATTGAAAATTAATGTCAAAACTTTTGATACTTGTCTTTACCTTCTTCATGGACGTCTCGATAATTTATCAACCTTGATAATTCATGTGTCAAAAATTTCCCGTACACTTAAATATAGATAATATGGTAAGTATATTTCGGATTATTATGTTTTCAAGAAAAATACTAAACTATATAGATAGAGATTCTTAATTTTATTTTTATAGAAAAAACTTCCCAAATTGAAATGCTTTTCATTGGCCTCGTTTGATTATACGTTTAACTATGATGATGAAATTGTTCCATTACTTCGTCGTATGATAAATCTTGAAGAATTGATATTATCTTTGTCGATAATAAGAGTTGACTTAACTTATATTGATGGTACATATTTATATGAAGAAATTCGTATTCATATNTATTCATGAAACAACCACCCGCCTTATATTTCGGCGCTGACAATAGTAAAATTAATTAAAATTTTATCATAAATCTCTCAATCTTTCAAATAAATATCACATTTATCTTTAATCTAAACATACACACCTGTCATGTCTTAGTAAACCCATCTATTGACACAGGTTAATAAGTCTTGTTAAGAGAACAAAATACTTTTTCAAATAAGCATATCTTAACATTTGTAATTAATATTGAAAACAAAAAAGACAAATCTTGGCAAATGAAATGAATTTGTTTTGTTTGTAAATTTTTCTTTTATTTATTCTATTAAACAAAAGTGGTAGCAATAGCAGCAATTTTAGCTAAGTCACCTCGTGTACGAAAAAATGCTGGTATAGGTGCAAGTATTCGTGTACCGATCGGATTTCCATCATCATCGATTAATACAACATTATTCGAATCAAATTGTGGTACATTCGGTTTTCGTATTCGTTGTCTACAACCAACAATAATTGCTTTTTTCATTTGTCCTTTAATTGCTAATAAAACTTTATCACCAAGACCAGCTGTTAATCGTGTACGACTTAAATTATTATTTTTTTTATAACAATGTATAATACGTGGCATACGTTTATAAACATTACCATCTAAAGCTAATTTACTATTATCAACCACATGTACACGACTAACTTTTTGTAGATCATATAATGGCATCGTCATACTAGAAAAAAAAAAAAAAGTCATGAAAAAAAAATTTTTTTTTTGTTTTTTATTGTTTTAAGATCAAATTTTTGATTTACCTAAATGAACGATATGCTATAAAATCAATAGTTGTTGGAAGAAGTTTGCCTAAGATATTCATATCTAAAAATAAATCATTCACATTTTTCACATATGTTTGCGTATATACAAAGATAAAAATCTATAGATTTTAATTTCTGGACGAGAATAAGAAAATGAAAGACAGTACCAGTAAGAAGATACAGGTGAGAATACTTTTATCGATACATCATTTAGAAGAACAATACGTATGTTGCTTTTTTGACCTTTAAATGAACTAAGCATAAGGATTATTTGTCTTCACCTACATGGTATTAATCAGTTCGTTTAATTTAGGCAAATGTTTTGTTCTTCTAGCATATCATATCCAATGAATATGAATTTCTAAGATTAAATTTCGGTTTTACTTAGAAATCAGAGTGATATCATCTGTATTTACTATGAAATTTATGCCATATGAGTAGGCAGATCGATGATATTTATATTGCTGTTTTACCTTTTTTTCTTTCTCGTTAAAACTTGACAAATACTTGTTGTGGTATATGATAAAATTTTTAATTTGAATAATGCATCGAATTTTTCGATCAAAAAAAACTCACCATTCAAATGAAAATAATGATATAGAAAATAATTGTCCTAAACGTCTATATTCTCGTCATAAATCATTATCACATGTTGTACCTATTCCAATGATTATACTTCCACAAGACAAGACTAATATTCGTATTGTACGAATTCGTTTAATTTTTATTCATATTGGTATGGAAAACGAAAAAAAAAAAAAATAATTCTCTTATTTATTTAAAATTTCTTTTTTTTTTTCTCAATAAATTCTAGGCGAAATCGATACACTTAATGAAAAATATCAAGCAGACATTTATTATGAAGCAAGATGGTTTGAAATAATGAGTGTTAAATCATTAGATTTAGATATACAACAACGATCACAATTATTAGATGAAAATATTTCTATAAGACTAAATGATCTTAATCCAAAAAATTATTGGACACCACAATTATTTATTGAAAATGAAATCGGACAAATTGGTAAACAAGATACATGGTTTACAATAAAGAAATTTGTTACGGGAAATTTTGAACCTTTATCACCATCAGCGATTCGACTTGAAATATGTGAACATCGACGTATAAGAGGAGTTTTTTGGGAAAAATTGGAATTAAATCATGTATTTATTATATTTTGTATAAAGAAGGAATGAAGGATATTTAAAAGTAAAAAAATTTTTTTTTTTTCCTTTTATTTAGTTTCCAGCTGATGTTCAAGATTTAACAGTTTCAATATCAACTATTCATCATGTAGAAAATTGTTTACTTGTTCCCGATGAACAATTACGTTCGAGTATAAATCGTGAAGCTTTTTTTGATCAACAAGAATGGAAATTATATGAACATGTTGCAACTGAATCAAGACAAACAAAAGAAGAATATTCATTTGAAAATGACAATAGTGGAATAGAACAAAAAAAACATCCTGTTCTAGCATTTACTTGTCGCGCAGGTCAGTATCTTATTTTCTTGATATTAGTCCAACAATATTTTTGTTTTCTTTTTAAAGCACGTCGACCTGGTTATTATTATTGGAATGGATTTTGTCTTATTTTTCTTATTACTGTTTGTTCATTTTGTATTTTTTCAATTCCACCAGAGTAAACTATTCTCTACATATTTCTTTAAACTTCAACATTTCTATTTATTTTAGTTTACCACAAAGTCGTCTTCAAATAACATGTACTCTTCTTCTTACATCGGTTACATTTCGTTGGGTAGTAAATCGATCACTGGTAAAAAAAAAAAACACAAACTTTTCAATTAGAAGAAGAAGAAAAAAAACACATCTCAATTTCTTTTTCTTCTAGCCAACAATATCTTATCTAACAACACTTGATAAATATGCAATTATATCAATTATTATGTTAGTTCTACTTTGTGTATGGCATTCTGTTATAGCAACATTAATTTTTCTTAATCCAACAAAAGCATCATTAACACGTACTATTGTACCGACTCATATTTATGTTAATATTGATCGATATGTATTTATTTGTTTGTTCTCTATATACACTATTATTCATATATTACTCATAATCTGGCTTATATTTGTTCCATATAAACGAAGACGAGAAATGGAATATCTCGATCGTGAATATGCAGCTAAAAAACATATTCAATTAGAAACAACTCGAACACGATTTAGTTCAATACAAAGTCAACCACAAGATTTAGTATTTCGTCGTGCATCATCTGTTCATGGAAATATACCTATAATTAAATCTCCTATACGACCAATAAAACATCCTGATGGTATAACAATAATTTCAAATACTACAACATTTCTGCCTATTAAAGAAGAAACAAATGAAACTAAAACAAAAATTTTAAATACAATCGAACTTAATGAAGAAGATGATGTATTCTGTGATCATACGAACGATACTAATAATGAACTAAAAACTACTTAAATTCAACCTATTTTAAAATCTTAATACTTATTCTAAACTAGTTGATTTGTTTACGAAATAAAAAAATAAAAACAAGATTGTTTATGATCATCGTCTATTTCATGTTCATCCAAATTTAAAGAAAGAGAAGTACTGAAAATGGAAAAAAACAAATGAGAGAAGGACACGGGATTTTTTTCTATGAAACTAAAGACGACAATACAACTATATTGTAAAAGAAAAGAATTTAATGTTCCTAATGGTGTTTTTCTGCATGTTCTTGTTTTTTCACACGTGCTTGATTTGGATCAATACCAGCTGCATAAGCTAAATCAATCATTGATTGATCAGCTTTTATTTTTTGCTCAGCAACTTCCTCAATAGCATGATGTGTAACACGATCAATTTCTTTGGGTCGTGCACGTTCTTCACGTTTTTTTAATGTATTATGATGTATACGTCCATAGACAAGACCAGTTAATAATAAACTCCAACGACCAGCACGTATTAATGGTGAAACATTTTTTGGTACTGCTGTTGCCATTCTTTTCTTTTGAATTTAATCGATCTGAAAAAAAAAACCAAAATATTTAATTAGCATTCGAACTTTTTTTTAATAATCAAAACAAAACAAAAAATGATGTTTTTTTTTTTTTCTTTTGTTTAACTTTCAGATTGAGCAATACATCGATTAACAACTGCACAAAGATGTTTATTTTCAAGTGCAGCAGTAACACGTTCTTTATCATTCAATTGTTTATTTATTTGATTTTCTTGTATATGAGCACCTTCGAATATATTAACACCGACTTTATAACGAGTAGGTAGTGTATAAAGTAATTTTGCTCGAATACTCAAACCAATTAATGTTGCCCTGAAATTAAAAAGAAAAATTTTAAACATAATTAATAACACAATGAAACATTCTCAATTGTCCAATGGAGCTTAGTTTGAGGCTATTGCCATTTGATGAATAGAAAAAATAGTTTTCTGGTCTTTACTTGTCGAATGATAGACGTTTTACTCGATTATTGTCCTATGAACATAGAATTCCTGCGAATCTGGATAATCAAATTTCGAAAGTTGATATCTCAATATAGATATGTTTGTTGTCCCTCAAACTTTAGGATTTTCCTAGTGACTATCAAGTCTATCTATGAACAAAATTTCAGCTCGAAATTCAATTATTCAATGCTCATAGAATTCAAAAAATTGAGTAAAGTGCTCACAACACGTGAAGACTGGAAAAACAAATTATAAGGCATTTTACTAGTCATTATGACCGATCGAATTGGCCATAGTGTTATGCAGACAGCAGTAGGAAATGTTCTCTCCTCAGTTTCTTGTTCCCAAACTCGGTTCATCGATAGACACTTGATTTTCTCCTAGTTCTAAATTCTAGTACACTTCTGTCGGACGGTTATGTTGCTCGGAAAGGATACAATCAATAAGAACTAATAATTAATGTTTTTAAGAGAAAAGGTTGTGATAAATGTTTTTTACATATTCTCGAATATTCTTTTCAAATTTCTGTAGGAAAATATATCTGTTACTTGTAAATAACTTACATGGAACAATGTGGAATAGTAGGTCGAAATTGCACTTGCACTGTACTAGCTTGATTATCAATTGTAATTCCATCTAAATCGACAACATGAAGTTCTAAAATAAACAAAATATATTTTAGTTTAAGAGAAGAAAAAAAAGGAACAAAATTTTTCTTCAAACCTTCTAATGTCAGTGGATGTTCAGGATCATTAATTGATCGAATCAAATCAAATATTTCACGACGATCAATTTCATCTCGGACATCATTATCGTAATCTGATTCTTGTATAGTTCGTTCTTCAGTGCGTTCATATATAGTTGGATTTAAATTTTGTGGTTCTGAAGAAACTTCCATTGTTATGTTTTTTTTTTTATTCTCTGCTGTTGTTTTTTTTCTCTCTTTTATAAACACCATCCGTAGATAAACAAGAATCGATTAGTTAGTCATATAAACCAATCATAAAAATGAAAACAAAAATACGCCGCACTTATTCATTTCCTTTTTTTGTTTTCTGCATTAATTTATTTGCAACAATTATTATACAGTGACATCTACATACACGAAATGAAAGCTTAATGTTATATCATATCAGTAATGTTCAAGAAGTGGAAAATGCGAACTTTTAAGTTGTTGAGGTACTATCAACAGAATTATAATAATTCTTCGCAGAATTGAGAATCAATAATATATTAAAAAAACACAGAAAGAAAAATTCTACTTTTTTGCTTGATGAATGATATCTATTGATAATAAAAAAAATTGTTAAGCCAAAAATATATTTGTATTTTTTTCTTGATCTAATGAAAGAGAGATATGAGAATAGGAGAATCAAATAAAATATTCAAAAATAATAGAATAAGTTATATTTAATATTTGTCTACTTAACTGCCTATTTTGTATATTTTTTTTTCGCTAGGCATACCTGTCAATCTTTATCAAAACTTGATCAAGTTTACAAGAGCTATATGCCATGTAATAGCATAGAATCTGCTCTACAAAATCCTGTTTTAAATCTTATTAGATCATCTTTTTTATTAGGAATAAAAGTGTATTTAAATCCCAACAGCACTACTATGCGTATGTGCTAGTAACATGAGAATGGATCCTCAAAGTTGAACAATAACTGCATTTTTAGACGTATGAATCAAATAGAAAAAGTACGGGACGATTCAGAAAACATTCAAAACAAATATAACGAATAGAAATTTCTTTAATCAAAGAACATTTTATTTTTTATGCATTTTTTTATATTCACTTGACTAATCGATGTCAAAGTTGATACTCTACGTTAGATTCATGTTCTGTATAAAAAACTGAGTCAAACAAAATATCAACCAAATATTTTAATTAGTCTTTTAAGAGGCTAATAGCCATTATAATCTGCAGTACGTACAAATTGGTAAAATTTTTATTAAAAGTATACAGCTTTATGATGGTTAACGAATAGCTTTGCAAAAAAATTTGAAAGGCTACATAGTGCAGTATTTGATGTAACATTTTGATCAACTAACAATAGTATTAAAGGTTATTTAATGAGAAATGCAATGTGAAGATCTTATCACTAATATGTTATATGTACTCGCTACTAGAGTCTTTGAAACGAATGTCTGTAAATAATCCTTTTTCAAGACCGGTTGCTTTTTAGGTATATAACAGTTGATAGAACTTACTGAAATCTATCAAATCACACCAAAATATGTCAGCAATAAAGTGAGAAAGCATCTTGTACGTTCCAACTAGTGACAAAATTCTCATATAATTGACAACAGTAAAATATGTTAATATCGTAGGATAGAAATTTTGTTCTTATAAAATCAGACGATCCATTTTGCGAAAATATATATGAACTGATAAATCTTTACGAGATCTATCGAATACATCATAAATATATGGGAAAACAAGTTGGAGAATCTGCCATTACATGGAAATATTAGCGAAATTCTCATTTATGTGAGACTGTCAAATATGTTAATATCATAGTACAGGAGTTATTATTCTATGACACCTAACGATTCGCTCTGAGTTATATACAGAATGATAGATATCTTCAATAACTGTTGAATGAAGTCAAATATGTTGACACTAAAAATTGGGAGAACATGTCTGTTAGTCCAGTTGCTGGTACAATATTGATATAATGATTAGCTAATACTGCAATATATCGATTTCAGATGTCTCATAATGATATGATGAAATGACACACTTATCAAATGACTGATGCGAAGGCAGAAAATGAAAGTTTATTGCGGAGAACGCTAAACAAGATTATGACATTGAGAAGAACTTAGAAGTATAGATGTCTGGCAAGATGAAATTCGTATATTGGAATTATTCTGTTTTTGCTTCCGTGATACAATCACTTCAACAATGAGGTAAACAAGAACCAATCTTTGCTTTATCGAATAGACCATATGATCAACCATCAGACTCATCTTTATTAAAAATCTTCTCAGAATTCACAATACATCAACAATTCGAGATATTCGCATCATGTTGCCGAAATCATCATAGTAGTGAAATATCCAGTAAAATTTCATTCATTATACGGATAAATTGCCCTTTAATAGATACCTTTCAACGATATAATGAAATTATTGGAAATTAGGAAGAAGTTATCAGTATTGAAATTTTGCTTCGTTGTTACATGTGTAAAATTTGATTATATTTGGACTAATGATTTGATTTGCTTGATTCGAAGACACCATAATAATGTGAACTTTGGAATTTCTTCCATAGTGTTTTTCATTAAATGGTACAATACAGGAATGTCCTCGATTAATAAGATCCATTGATCGCCAGCCTAATGTGTTCTATACATCACATTGTGTTTTTTTTTCTTCAATTTAGAAAATTCTTTCTCGCGATGATTTGAGAGCGCACAATGCGAGTCCTATCTTTTCGCTTCTAATCTTCATCTGCATCTACTGTATAAAACAAATGAGTGTACAGCTCTCTCTCTGCTAATCAACAAGAAAAGTACATTATTTTGTAATTTCATGTGTTGAAGTCAATATTTTTCTGAGAGTCGAAAATCATGAAGTTGCTAGTGACCATGTTTGTAACAACAAACTGGATGAGCAGCTTACCGACATCCTCGGTAATGATGTTGATTAGCTACTCCATATCTTCAGAACGTAACTATTTCACATACAACACACACTTATGTAGGAGAAAGAATATGAGTATGTGGATTTGGGTGTGATTGTCTGGGTATCATGTGTACACTAATACCTGCACCCCACACTCTCAAGATTCAGTCTCACCACAGTAGAGCAACATGGCTTCTTCTTCTAATTCAACTTAAATAAAACAACAACTGAAAAAAAAACCACAAAATCGATAAAATTCTTCTTATAAAAACGGTTCATGTACGTGAATGACAAATCATTATAATTATTCCTTGTTCATAATTATGTATGTATAATAGTTATTGCATAGGTAAAAAAAATATTTTTGTGTGGTTGTAGGGCTTATCTTTTTACAATTTTTTCTTTCAGTTTGGTTTATTATACTTCAGTTCTTTTCATTTAATAGTTAGCGTTCTAATGAATATTGTCTCTTGTCAATAAGAAAAACCTCGTTGAAATTCGATTTTATTTTATAAAATTCGAATTATATGGTCAAATATCTATACATATACTATATAAAACAGAACGATTCCGTTGATAATTTCTCTTCAAAATGCGTCCTTATTTAAGAAATATCATTTTATATAAAATAGATAAGAATTATATTCAAATGTTGATTACAAAAAATATCTATATACAAAATATTTACTAATTCTATCAAATAATACACTATGCATATTAAAGATAATATACAATGTTTAAACTAAGAATTCAACATTTTTTTAAATTCATAATTCCGAACTCAAAAGATGATTAAGAATTAATCCAAATAGACACATTTTATTAATATAAATCTGTACGGAAGAGGCAAAAACAAGATTTTCTCAATAATAAACTTTTTTCTTATAGATTAATTTTTCTTGTTTA